TCACACAAACAAGCAAAGCTACTATCACCAACTAGAGAGCTGCAACTAACAAGAGAGAGCTACAACTAGCAAAGCTACTAACAAAAGCAACTAAACTAGTTACAACTACACTACTACTAGCTAAGCTACTCAAGCAACTACCACACAAGACAAGAATAGGAATGTAAATGCAAGTGAGATGAACACGAAGATAAATACTCGAGGTTCGATTGCTTGCCAGCTGCCTGAGTCCTCATTGTGGCGAGTCCAAACTAGCTAGGTGGTTTGCGCGCTAATTGGCATCACACGACAACCCTGCCTCATGGGCGCCGCAAGAACCACACAAGAGGGCACTCCAACTAGCCACGATTCCAATAGAGTTGCTCTTTTGTGAATCTTCCGTGGGGAATGAGCACAAGAGCCCCTTATAATCAATCGATCGGAGCCGGCAACAATCAATGCCGCACAACGATCCTCCGCTGCCTCCAAGCCATCTAGGTTTCGGCAACCACCAAGAGTAACAAGAATCCCGCAGCCAACACGATCTCTAATGCCACTAGATGCCTCAACTCAATGCAAATGCACTAGGATCACTCCCAATCTCACTTTGGATGATGCAATTTTGAAAGAGATGAGTGGGAGGCGAAATCTTATGCTCACAGGTCATAAGGTTTTTCAATATGTTAGGGAGCCAAGAGAGCCGGCCAAGGGCCGACCACCATCTATTTATAGCCCCAAATGGGGCCATCCAACCGTTACACCCATTGAGCAGAAATCGGGGCCATTAGACAAGGTCGATGCCTAGCATGAGACAAATGCAGCCTTTGTCTGATGCTCCTGTGAATGCCATGTGTCACTAACCATTTGAAACTACCCATTGGCGCCCAACAGCTCTCTACGCGATGTCTGATGCTGTATTGTTCGATGCCCATCGGACAAATGTCCACGTGTTGTCCGATGCAGTCCAAAGAGGTTCCAGAGAGCACTTTTGTTCATCGGACAAGTCTGGGGCCCTACATCGGACAAAACAACATTGAAGTGTATGTTTGCAGATGGGTTTATATTTGAGTGCATATGAAATGAAAATAATAATATAAATTAATGGCAAGAAATAATTAGTGCCTTGTTTATAAAGCACTTCCATGTTCCAATCATTAGATTATGAAATTTATGTATCATCAAAAGATAAATTGAAAAAAATGAACGTATTTGCTCTTTGTCCACCTTATCTTCTCTTCCTTCTTCGGCACTAGTCGCACGTCCCATTCCTTCTCGAGCAGCACATTGACGTCTCCTTCATCCTCTGACAGGCATGCATAAGTGCTTTAATTTGTAGGTTGCGTTTATTCACTCCCTCTAACCGACATTAAGATCCTTTCACTTCTATATGATTTGACGTGGTAAGTTGGGCATAAGCGAACCATCCGGTGTGAAAAAGGGCCGACGATGCAGCCTAAAGGAAGGTGAATAGGTGAATCTAAAAATTTATAACTTATAATACGAAAATTGTTAGAATAAAAAATTTGATTTCTCGAAAATCCTAAATTAGAGAATAAAACCCCTCTAAGGTACACACATAGTGTAAAACAGATACTAAACAAGCCTAAGAGCTAAACCTCTATAAAACAAAGGATTAAATGTAGAAATACAAATTTCAGTATCTAGGGGTGCCAAACCAGACTGGTCTGGTATGCACGGGTAGTGCACTCATAAAACTAAAATCTCCTCCTTTTCAGTTCTTTGATCCTTTGCCGTAATGGCTTTCCAAAGACTGTGCTATGAAGTTTTCCTGCACGCAAATGAGCACAAACCCAAATAGATTGAGACAAACACAAATATAGAAGGTAAAACACTTGGACCAAAACTCATGAAATGAATTAGCTTAATGCATGAAACCATATTTATACTTCCCCCGTCCTAAAATATATTGTAATGTGACTTCTAAAATTTACACCGAAATATAATGCATTTTATGTAATGACTATATCTAGATTTGGCAAAGTTTGTTAAAAAGAAAACCATAATTTGAAGAAAAACTCTTTAATTAAATATAATCTATGGTACAACCTAAAGCTCCAAAAGGGACAGTGCGAGTGAACTGTGAAGGCAAGCGGGGGCAAAGGTAGCCAGCAATAGCAAGACACCGAGCGAGGGATGGTAGAAAGCCCAAATCCCAATTCCCCGTCTCGCTGGCTGTGTATTAAAAATATATTCGCGCTCCAGCTCACCATTTCTCCCCAACTTCTCTTCTCTAATCATCTCAGCGAATCCGATCGAGCCCAAGGTATAAATGTCCATGCACCCCGAGGCAAGACTGTCCGGCACGAAGCATGCTATTTTGGCCCGGCCCAAACATGGCACGGCCCGATGGTTAGCGGGTCTAAGCTAGCCCGCCCCGGTGTTACAGGCTGTGCCTGGGCCGCTACTCAGGCACATGGGCTGGCACGGCACGCTCCGACTTTTATTGCTAAGAGCCCAACTTCATTTCCTCGTAACCCTACTGCAATGGAAATAGGAGCATCAATAATGCAGACTATGGTTCAGACTATACCATAATTGACATACTTTTAATTGAAAAGGTGTGGTAATAACAATATCCTACAAAAGCAGTATGCCACAATGGTGGATGTATGGAGGTAATTTTTGGCCTGAGTTAATTTGGAAAAATACTAAAATTGGATGTTTGGAGCTATTTATTGGCCCTGGAAACACTATATTTCTTTCAATTTTGAACCTTTTCGAACATCAAACACCACGAAAAATCAAAAGGGGAAGGTACCAATGTTAATCAGTATATCCCAAACTAAAATACATATTTTTGTGCTAAAAGTGCGAAGCAGAGTATATTACCAAATGTTAATTGGTAGATCCTAAAATATCTTACCTTTCAAATTAACAAATGATATCCCAAGCATTTGTGATTCTTGAAAAAAACATTAGCACTCAGTATAGGAAAAAACTATCTTCTGAAAGAATATTAGAGATCAATATCAATGTTTTCAGATCGTCTAGTCGAACCTGATCGCCATGGGACTGACCAAGAGACTAATCACGATTAGTCGTCGACCAGGCCGATTAGTCGACCCTGGTCGTCCATGTATATCATGACACCACACACACACACATATATATATATACACACACGGTAAGGTTATTCTACAGCTGGCTACAGAATAACTTATTCTATGGCCACCTTGATTTACGATAATGTTTGTACCAATTTACGATAATGACAATACACATTTACAATACATGGGTTACTATAATTCAAGATGATACTTACCATAATGCTATAGTAAATCACTTATGAGGAGGTTACCATAATCTCGTAAATTAGTATAGTAATTATCGTAACTCAAAGTGACCACAGAATAACTTATTCTGCGGCTAGCTACAGGCCAGCTTTCTGGTCGAGCTAATCGAGTCGGTCCTCCTAATCGAATACCAGGAACCGAACAAGATGACTAATCACGATTAATCACGATTAATCGGACGACCTGAAAACATTGATCAATATGATCAAATCGGGTTTAGAATGATTTACCGCCAGCTGCCTCCAGATAGACATCTCTGTAGCACCATGAAGCCCTGCATTATAGACTTCGGCCTTGAGATCTACCAGGCATGCTGTAAAATCTGAGCTGGTGGGCACCTGGACTGTGTCAAACATTCCATAATAAAAAATGTGCACCTCAAAATTAAAAGACACCAATAGGAAAACAAGGATTTGAATCATTTTAAGGAAAAGGGAGTAAAGCATTGACAAAATATCAAGAATATAGCATCCATGTTTACCTAGATTTGGACAACAGGAGGGTAAAGTGGAGGTAATTTTCATAAGGCTTGCAATGTTTGTAGGTAACAAGAAAGGACAGTATCGTTGGATAACGGAGGACCTCTAAGCAGCACGGGGACGCCAAGAGGAGAAGCGGAAAACGGGGCTACACATTGTGAATTGCAATCGCCTCCATATCATATCTCCCTTTGGTTTCTTAATTTATTTTTTTGTGTTGTTTTGCCCTTGCCTTTTCGAAGGCAAACTAATTTTGGTGGATGTGGCAAATACTTAAATAATCCATGATGTTTACAGGTCCACTATTTACCTGGCTGTGTGGCCGTTAACACGTGTGTGTGTGTGTGTGTGTATAATAATAATAATTTCACAAGAGTTGAGTAGGGTACCCCTGTATCATGTTCTGAAAAATTAGTTGTTGTGTCCAAGTTCGTTCATGCAAGCGAAGGAGAGTCCTGGCTTAACAAATTTGCCAGTTTGTTTAGTGTTGTTTATGGTCACTATTTCTAATGAAGGCCGTTGCACATGCAATGTTTTGTGATTACTGTAATTAGCTTGCTAATATAGGCTCACATTGAGATATGTGCTATCTTTCTGTAATAACTGTGGTCCGATGCATCTTCATTAGAAGATGTCTGGAGCCAGAAGAAAAGGAATGCTCTAAAGCTTCAAATATTAGGAGCTAGTACCTGCAAAAATAAGATATAGGAAGCTAGTATATATATGAGCCCAAATATGTGTTGCTTTAGTATGCAGTTTAAGATTAAGACTTGAGTTAATTATGCTAAATTACACTAGGTTGACACATCGTGTGATTTTAATTAGGCGACTGATAGAGATGGGTTCTTGTAAGACCATTGAGAAATAGTGTTTTCCAGAATGAACCGTCCATATGATTTTCAACTCAAGTTAGAATAGTTGTAGCCTTGTACTGTTGTAGTGGCAGATCGGGGCGTGATAGACACACCCGAGTTCAGTGCCGAAAGCCATGCGCCCGGTCTGGGGCGCACGCCCGTTCGTCTCGGCAAGAGCCATGCCGCCCCGACCACGTCGCGGCCATGCGGCCATGCCCCACGGCCTCCTTATAAAACCATCGCCACTTCTCTGCCCCATCCTCTGATCTGCTCCTCTCATCTCGGACAAGGCAAATTTAACTAGCTCTTTACCGGCAACGGCAAAGCCAGACATCCGCCGCCGTTGAGCCCCAAGGGCCAAGGGAGAGGACGAAATGGCGCTGTCCACGGCGAACACGAACGCCGCCGAGTCCCATCTGCACTGCTCCACCTTCGCGTCGCGCTACGTGCGCACCGCGCTCCCGAGGTATATCCTGCTCCTCATTGGCGCGCCGGCCGCTTGATTGATTTGCGGCCGGAGTCCCTCTCTTGTTTTTTCAGCTGAATATCCGGAGGCCCGGGTCCCCCTGTGCGTGCCGTCGTCACGCTGCAGGTTCAAGATGCCGGAGCAGTCGATCCCCAAGGAGGCTGCGTACCAGATCATCAACGACGAGCTGATGCTGGACGGGAACCCGCGGCTGAACCTGGCGTCGTTCGTGACCACGTGGATGGAGCCCGAGTGCGACAAGCTCATCCAGTCCTCCATCAACAAGAACTACGTCGACATGGATGAGTACCCCGTCACCACCGAGCTCCAGGTAACTGCAAGCGCGCGCGCGCGGCCTGACTGACAACATGCTTAGGCTCCGTTCGATTGTCAGGGAACGGATCCCTGGAACCATTCCCACCTGGAATCGTTCATTAATTTACATAATCTTGATCAACCCGGAATAGTTCCTGCCCCATTCCAGCAGAACCGAACGAGGCCTTAATCGATCTAATCTAACTGTACTTGGAATGGAACAGAACCGGTGCGTGAACATGATCGCGCACCTCTTCAACGCGCCGATCGGCGACGACGAGACGGCGGTTGGGGTAGGGACCGTCGGCTCCTCGGAGGCCATCATGCTGGCCGGGCTGGCATTCAAGAGGAAGTGGCAGAACAAGATGAAGGCGGCGGGCAAGCCCTACGACAAGCCCAACATCGTCACCGGCGCCAACGTCCAGGTACATTGCTTGCATGCATCGTCTGTCGGCATTTCAGGGCATGCATGAGCGAGCTGCTGGCCATGCCAAACTAAACCAAATGAATGATCTCTGGGCTGGGGCTGGCACGCGGTGCGCTTGCAGGTGTGCTGGGAGAAGTTCGCGCGCTACTTTGAGGTGGAGCTCAAGGAGGTGAAGCTCAAGGAAGGGTACTACGTGATGGACCCCGAGAAGGCCGCGGAGATGGTGGACGAGAACACCATCTGCGTCGCCGCTATCCTCGGCTCCACGCTCAACGGCGAGTTCGAGGACGTCAAGATGCTCAACGACCTGCTCACGGCCAAGAACGCCGAGACAGGGTGCGCGCGCTGAAGCCGATTGTCTCATTCTCAACCAATGCAGAGGTTCGGACCTAAACTGATCTCGATCGACCGGCTTGGTTAATTTCCGCCAGGTGGGACACCCCGATCCACGTGGACGCGGCGAGCGGCGGCTTCATCGCGCCCTTCATCTACCCGGAGCTGGAGTGGGACTTCCGGCTGCCGATGGTGAAGAGCATCAACGTCAGCGGCCACAAGTACGGCCTCGTCTACGCCGGCGTCGGCTGGGTGATCTGGAGGAGCAAGGAGGACCTCCCCGACGAGCTCATCTTCCACATCAACTACCTCGGCGCCGACCAGCCCACCTTCACGCTCAACTTCTCCAAAGGTAGGTACCCGCGGGCTCCACGCTCTTCTGTAACTCTGTTGCTTCTGTTTGAATTTGTTTTCAGGCTTTCACTGAGCAACAGTGAGTTCATCTTCTATGCCTGCTCTCTTGGACAGGTTCGAGCCAGATTATCGCGCAGTATTACCAGCTCATCCGCCTCGGATTCGAGGTAACCGCAACAGCTTGCATTATGCTACTGACGACATTAAATTCGCTGGGCTTGTAACCGATGACGCCGTTTCGGCACCATGATCAATTGGCAGGGCTACAAGGACGTGATGCAGAACTGCCGCGACAACGCGACGGTGCTCCGCGAGGGCATCGAGAAGATGGGCTACTTCGACGTGGTGTCCAAGGACTCGGGCGTGCCGCTGGTGGCCTTCTCGCTCAAGGACTCCTCCAAGTACACGGTGTTCGAGGTGGCCGAGAGCCTCCGCCGGTTCGGCTGGATCGTGCCGGCCTACACCATGCCCGCCGACGCCGAGCACATGGCCGTGATGCGCGTCGTCATCCGCGAGGACTTCAGCCGCGGCCTCGCCGAGCGGCTCATCGCGGACCTGGGCAAGACCATGGCCGACATGGACGCGCACGCCGGCAGGAAGGCGCCGGAGCAGCCCAAGAAGTCGGTGCACGACATCGAGAAGGAGGTGACCACCTTCTGGCGGAGGCTGGTCGCCAATAATAAGAAGAAGAGCAGCATGGTGTGCTGATGATGGGCGCTGCGGCCTGCGGGAGGAATAACATTCCTGTTGCGAGATGTTCTCACATCACGAGCTCAGTTCTTCTTATCTGTTTTTGGTTTACGTCTGCGTTGAGTGATTCGATTTGAGCTCCCATTTTGTCTGTTTCGATTTGTGCGTGGTTGTTCGCGCCAATTGATGAGAAAACTTGTTAATCCGAAGGATGTAGGCATATATATACACACATTTCAAGTTGAAGTACAGTAGTGAACATGGGTTTTAGATCAGTAACCAACGATGTGGACTCTGATCACATTCTGGTTGCTCGGGAGTTCAAGAAAATAAATTGGTGGTGGTGGCTTGCCATCGAAGTGAGGAAAAATCCCACAATCTTGATCATAGACTAGCCGGATGTTATATGTCATCTAGGAGTATGTTTGGATGGCGTTGGTGCAAGTCAACCTCTATGTCCACCATTTGTTCGATGAAATGCCCATCGCTACATTTCTGTTCCTAGTCGCCTCCAAACATGTCCAGCCTTTACCGGTTGCAGTGACTGCCTTTTCCAACATGCATTCATCAACTTCATTGAACGCTCGGCTGGTGTCTGAAGAAATGCCAAGCAGGTACACCACCACCGTTCACTCTGTTTCCTCAATGAGTTCTCTTCTGTTCTATGGTGCTATCAACATCCATGAGGCCCGTCGAGCGTTCAATGCATAAATCTTTGATGGGTCCTCAATCGTGAACTCTGTGGGGACCATTGGAAGCCTTGGTACGCGTTACTTCCAGGTGATGTACATGCTATGTTTAGCGTGTTGTTTTTGCTTAGTACAGATGAAAGTGCTAAAGTCACAGTAACTACAAGAATGCAGTTTCTATGTCAGTAACTATCAAGTTGGTGTGAGTCTTCACTTGTGGACGGTAACAAGGTGTTATTTGTTCGTTGTTCTCTGGACGATGATTATTATGTCTTCAAAGAGAAGCTACTCGACACCTGCTGGTTTTGCTGGCCATGTTCGCTTCGCTCAAAAGACAAGCTGAAAAATATTATTCGCTGATTTATTATTAGAGAAAAACAATGTTCCTTCGCTGAAAAAGTACGGCTCATAAGACAAGCGATGCGGGCAATTGTAGGGTTCGTATCAGAGTTCGAAAGCTGTCTGGAAGTGCACCATCACACATCTGGCCAATTCAGAAGCAGTACCATTTGCTCAATTCTTATGCACTTTTTATTATTGACAATCTGATTGGCCTCTATAGAGTTCGGACTTAGGCTGGGTGGAATAAGAAACACATGCCCCCTTGTAAGCTTCAAATACTTGTCTCCTGTCTCTTTTCCAATGAATACATTCCAAGCACCGATGGCCATACTCTGGTGTACATCTCTGCTATAATGGACCAATCAAAACTATACTAGGTCCCCCAAGCAAAAACATCCACTGCTGAGAGCCTCCAACTACTATGTATCTAGAAAAATACACACAGCAAATCGTCTCTGTTAAAATCAAGGGCTAAAAAACTCCCAACCCCGATCCAATGGCCGATATTTGATGTTTGATGCCAGGCTTCAAACGCCGCACATCACCCCGCGTGGCGCGGCCTCCGACCCACGCACGCGTGGCTTCAAACGCGCTTGAACGCACACACCGTCGCGAGCAGAGATGGAAGGCTACGGTCACGGAATAAAAAAAATGAAACGCACCATCAGGACGCGAGCTCCCGTTGATCCCGTCGGTCGGCCGCCGCCTCCCGGATCCGCCAGACCATGCCAGTCGTGACCGTCGTGAGCTGACCTCGACGCCCTCGGCCCCGCATCCCCTAAAGACGGCTCAGCTCGTCTCCCTGCTCCCCAAACCGCATTCGCTCTCCTGCTCCACGCCGCACATCCCCCGAGCCGCCGTAGGGGACGGATCGGGCGTCGGGAACCACGGGGATGACTCCGGCGGGAATGGAGGCAGCGGCGGGGGTGGCGAGGATGACGATGACTACGAGGACGCGGAGTTCGGCCCTCTGCTCGGCTTCGACATGGAGGCGGCCAAGGACGCTGGCATCCGCTGCTTCGATCTGCAGGTCCTCGAATTTATGGGAATTTGTCTGAAAGATGTGAACATGGTCGTTTTTCCTCATTCCTTTGATGTTGATCTGCACAAGCCGCTCCGTGGCCGCTAGGCGTGATGCTCCGCGCTTTCTCGATGCTCCGCAACTCGACGCTCGCCGACCCGTCGTTCCTCTTCAAAGTTGGCACCGAGGTGGGTGCGGTTCGTCAGTTATTTTCTCAAGTGGTCAGAAGATAGTAGTTCTGCTGTTGCTAACAATTGCGTTATGGGTTGAATGCAGATTGTGATCGACTCTTGCTGCACGACATTTGCGGAGGTGCAGAAGAGGAGAAAGGATTTTTGGGCGGAGTTTGAATTATATGCTGCTGACCTTCTTGTTAGTGTAGCAGTTGATATTGCACTTGTGGGGCTGCTGGCTCCATATGTGAGAATTGAGAAGCCATCTGCTTCAACGGGGCTCTTTGGAAGATTCAGCAGGATGGCTGGATCTTTGCGAAATAGGTGAAATTTCATTTCGAGTTGTTGTCTATGGAGATTTGTACCACACCATGAAAAATAATTGAATTCGAAAGTCTGTTTAACTTGTATATCACTCCCATGACCATTTTTTCATCTATGAAATTGAAATAGAATGGAGATGTTGCTAAACCAGCAATAGAGCTGTGACTTCAAAAATCTATTTATGAATGGCACTAAGATTTTAAAACCGCAGTGTTTTACAAGCACACCAGGTGTTCATGATTTAGTCTACAACGTACATGCTTCATTCTCTAGCTTCCTTTTCACTCACTCTATTTTATTCCAAAATTTTTATATGCAGCCAACATTTGTTCTTAAGTTCAGATTTGTTTATGAACGAAATACTTTGTTCTTAGATCGGGCTATAAGCGAATAAAAAATTGTACAGATTCAAAATTGGATAAATGGTGGCAACAAAGGTGGAGATGAGGTCCAGGGCTACCTGCAGGTACCCCTAGCTTCTTTTTCACACTGATTTTTTTTCCAGAATTTTTACTATGCAGCTTACAATTGCTGGCAAGTTTAGATTTTTATATATGCAACAAAAGAATTTGTTCTCAGTTTGGGCTATAGGAGATTGAAAATTTTTACAGACTGAAAATTAATTAAATGGCTTGCTCTCTGCATATATGCACATGATATGGTTTTTTTTGCGCATATATGCACATGATATGTTGTAGGTTGCTAGCAATTTTACCTTTGCCTACATGATATAGTGTTTAAATAAACTTGTCAGATACTCCTTTAGAACATGGATGGACCTATTAACTCTTTTATTTTGGTGCTCAATGACCCTGTTTTTGGATGATTCATTTACAAGAATATGTTCTCAATATTTTTAAAACCACATAGGGTCCTTCTCATGCAAGCATTGGTGTTAATATTGCACCACCAGTTTTGGAGCAGCGATTGTAGGTCCTTGTCCCCGGACACCACCTCTATCGACTCGTTCTTCGCTGGGACCGCTCGTAAGTGAGAGACACTGACGGTAGTTTTTACAAATTTTATCTTGTTTTGTATTTTATCATAGCGTTAGCACGGGCGTTGAATACTAGTATTGATTTCCAGTACATGCTAAGTGCAGAAGGATCCTCTCCTACTGAGATACAAGGTGTTTGATACTAAGTGTTCACTTTGGCACATGATTTTTTGAGAAGAGATTTATTTTTTGTCCTATTGTTCAATAATCCTCATGGGTAAAATAATCTTGAAGAAAGACACTCCCTGATAATTATCTGGAAGCACAAAATGGTATGTTGCTGACCTCTGTACCTCATCATGCATTATGGTGATCAATATAACAAATGAAACAAATCTTCATGTTAAAAAATTATGGTGATCTCCAGCAGGATAGGTTCGATCCAAAGTCCAACTGAATTAATAAGCAATTACAGAATCAAGTTCGATGAAATCTTTTTTATTCAACCTTAGAAATAAGATGCCTTCCTGTTTTACTCTTTCAAATGTTCGTTTTTATGTGAATTTGAAATATATTTCATCTATGCTTTATTACTAATACATGTTGTGACACGTTGGCTTAAAATCTACTTCTTTGGGACTGTATACGTCGTCTTTTGGTTGTTTGATTTGCATTATTAAATGTCACCGTAGCTTTAGCACAGGAAGTATACTTGGACCATAGTCAATGTATGTTCTGCATACTCTGTATTGTTAATTATGGTGTTACTTTTTATCTGCTTGCAATCTGATAATATGCCAAATATGAAATGATTTACTACCAATCTGGAATTATATCTTGAGATAATACACTACTTTTTCATCCTCGACGTGATGTTGGTTTTTGGTCCAGCTCCTTGTCATTATTAGTCTGACCATTGTCAAAATTCTGGTAAATTTCCTTTTTGTTCATCTACTATAGCCTAAAACCGACTCTTTTTCAACGGGCAAAGCTGGATACTGTCAAAATTGCATATGAAAGCCTCCAGGATAAGGATTAAGGTGCTTTACTGCTTTGTTGATCATGTAAGCACATGCCAGGTGATTTTAGCACATGCCGGCAGTGGAGGCAATCAAAACTATTTTATTTACAAAGTAGTGGTATGTAAATTATTCTAATATTCATCAATGTTAGACATGATTCTTTTGTATCGGTCACTGATTGATGCTTACAAAATTTACAAGATGATCAATTTTCTTTTGATGTATTTTGGATGGTTTGGTTGAAAGAACAATATTTATTCTTCAAATTAGAGATAAAATTATCTTTCACTCAATGATTTGCTATTACGGTATAATTGTAGACTCATATATTTTACTGTGACAAAAATATTTGGTCAATATATAAGATGTGAATCTTAATGAATTTTGTTTTGTGTTTTACCGTAGCGTTAACACGGACATTATACTAGTATATATAAGGACAACAATTGTTAGCGGCAGGGCTGCTGGAGTAGGTAGAGAAGTAGTGGGGATCGGAGATTTAGAGAAGGACAGCAGTCTGAGCAGGAAGAAGAACAGCAAGGGACGGAGAATTTTAGATGTAGGAAATGTAACATGTATTGGTAGGAAACTTTGAATCATCATCAATGTCCCTCTCTCTCTTTATCCAGCAGTATATATTATATATTGATCGACGTATGGGCTTGGTCCAACTCAACAATAGGCTCGCAGGCCTGGCACACTACCCATCTACTATTCATATTTAGAAATGCTATACAACACACATATGATTTAGCATAAAAAACACATGTATTTTTTTTATATCTATGACATCTGGGGCCTACATGTCATAACAAACACATAAACATCTTTGCGATCTGTGATTTGTCCTTCCATAGAAAAAAAATTATTTCTTGTGATCTGTGATCTTATGATTGTCTGGAGGTAGAAGAAGGCTGGAGGTAGAAGAAGGGTGGAGACTGTTGGATCTTAATCCTATGGTGCTAAAAAATTCATGTGTTGAAACTGCATAAAACACATGGTTGTGTAATTGACAGACTCATTCATATTAGATGGCTCATGATCCTGACACAATCTGAGACATCTGATTTTGAATGGAGTTGAATGGGTCTCGTAACCCTAGTGCACGTTTAGATTGGCGATGCCGAGCCGCGATGGGTTGGGGGAAAAGGTAACGGACCTTAGTTATTGTCGTGGGCCGTCTGAACTTGAAACGGATTCAAGAAGGGCCTTACAACCACAAGGCAGAGAGGTCCAATTCACGATCGCGGGCCAATCGATAAAGGGCAAACATGTAAATTCACCGTTGCTAGAGCTTGAAGCCCCCTCGTCCCCTCCTGCTACCGCTCTATATATCCGCGCCCCTGACTCTACAACACCACGACCACGCCGCCGCCGCCGCCAAGTTGGTTTTCCTCCGTCTGCTTCAGATTTCTCCTTGCTACTCTTATTTTCTCTCTCTCTACTCTTGTTTCATTCATTGGAGCTTTTGTTCTGCGTTGGTCGATGATGATTTGCTCATATATACCATCAAACTCTGAACAATCAAACGCTGTGTTGATTGCACAAAGCTTCCGTGAGTCTGATGCTATCTTCTGCCTCCAATTCTCCTCCCATCTGGTTTCAATTTTTCTTCAATTTTCGTTTGTTTGTTTTCAATTTAGGAGCAGCAGCGGTAGACCTAATATTAACACTAACCCTGTTGAAATAAATGGCAACTCTGAAATTCAGTTAGCATGAGATGCATCTCTGCCCTACTACTGTAATAAAAAAAACTGTAGTAGAAACCAATGATCCAATTTTGATCACTACAGACAATGATACAGCTTAAAAAGATCTGAATGACCAAGAGAAACATTGCAATTAGAATATCCAAACGTAATGTAACTATGCATGGTGACACAAATTACATATGTCGATATTCCTGTTATGTTTTTTGAGATCCCATGTTTTTTTGGTATTGTAGCTTTGATGTGAGGATCAATGCTACTGCCATGGTCCCGTTCGCTGGTATGAATCTTGACTGAAAAACACTGTTCTGGTTGAATTGTTGTGAGAGAAAAACACTGTTCCGGCTGAAAAAACAAGCCGAACAAGCCGAATATGGGGTAAGCCGAACGGGACACATGTATAGCGTTCCCCTACTCTTTTCAAAGCATTTCTGAGTTCCAATTACTCTTTATGGACATAGTGCTGATTCATGGCCTCAAACAAAATCATTGTTTCTTTTTTTAACACAGGAGAAGAATATATTTCTAAACACTAACGCTGATTCTGTGATTCAGGGCAACCACACGCGGAGTAATAACAGCATACTTCTGAACACCATCCCCCTCACCTGCCATTCTAGTCACGATGTCGTGCGGCACGGCATGCCTGTCGCGCTTTGGAGTTCAACCCTCTTGCCTGCCCTCATACTCTTGGACAAGGCCACGAGCATCCTGCATACCAGACACGTGCATTTGCCATTTGTTAGAGCCTGTCATCTTTACTCCAACCATCCAATATACAAAAGCTGTGCAGCTCAGCAAGGGTGCTTACTCCCACGGCACATCAACAGCATCCAGTTGCTATCGCTGTCCTCAAACACCATGGCATGCTCCAGGTCGCCATACATGTCCATCAGCCCTGCATGAAATGAAATAGAAAGCGCAATTCTTCTTCAGTTCCAATCCTCCCCGTGGCTTATTATACACGCAAGCGTCATCGATCTGCGTGGGTTTCTGATTGATCTCGCGCAGCATAGCAACAAGCTTACTGATTGAGCAGTAGCAAAACATCTCACTGAGCGCCTCCGCGAGCTCGTCGTAGTCGTCATACGACGCCACGTCCACCTTCCTCAGGTACGGCTTCCCGTCCATGCTCACTTCATATCTGCAAGGAGCCACAAGAGGCAACTACCAATAAGGAATCACAGGTAACAGAAGTGATGAAAGGTGAACGGATGGCGCGAGAGAAACGGACCAGATCTTGCCACCGCCACTGTACTGTAGGATCGATCTGGGCGAGATCCTCATGGTCGTAGAGAAGGGTTGATGCTGTTCTCACGGAGCGAAGGGGAAAACCAGAGCCACGGTTGTGGATGAGGCGAGGCAGCACGGCGCGCGTGGCCCGTGGAACAGTGTGGGAGTCAGGCGTTCGTGTCGGCGCGGCTGCCGTGAGCACGGGGAGGCGCAGATCCGGTGCCGGTCGGAGTAGATTGGGGCCTGGCATCCGGAGATGACGGGCATGCTAGGGTTCGGCGGCGGCGCCCAAGACAGCTCCCAAGCTCCTATCGACACAGATAGATGAAAGAGAGAAGGGGAAAGGACAGGAGAGAGAGCCACGGAGGAGAGCACTTCTTGTGGGTGGAGCGACGGCGGCGAGTCGAGAAGCGTGCGCGACACACAGGAAAGGTAGCGGCGGCCGGTGAAGAAAGAGAAAGGAGAGAGAGGAATGAGATGAGGCGAACCGGTTAGGATTCAGGTCTGATGAGTTGGACCACGGGTTAATTTACAAAAATGTGGAGGGTTTTCTTGCAAAACGTACACAGCCACGTGTCGGCACGCGAAGGAGCCAGCAATGCTCCGAATGCTCTGGTGCTTACAGAACTGAGTGGGTTTAAAAGAACCTTGATTTCTCTATATATGCGTGACATTAATAAGTAGTTTTCTCCGTTGTAGGCACTAGCTATAGGTCTTGAGCAATGCAAATCAAACAAATAATCTCTGCTCTGCAGCTTTGCCCTCGTGATACGGCTCCTAATCGCACGCGCGCAGGCCTCAGGCGCACTAAACATTTCTGCCGGCCGACCGAATCATGGTCATGGCGACCCGTGTAAACCTCACCCATTCGTGAGTAATAAGAACACACAGTGCAGTCTCAACGTTATTGTTGGGGAAGCAGAGTTTAAGCACAGAACAATCACAATCAACGGTGTCGCCCGTAGTTTTCCCTTGTGGTTAGGACCACAAAACCATGTATGTATATGTGATGCTGGAGGAATCGTGTTCCTTTTCTTTTGTGAGGAGCAAGAGGCAAACTCAAGATAAGTGCTCATTTTCGGCACGATACGTGCTCATTTTGTTAGAATATTGTTGTGAGAGGAAAACATTTGGCTAGCATTTTGTTAGAATAGTGCGCATTCGTCTATGATATAAAGATTTATTTCAACACGTATTAGAACATATAGCACAAGATATATGTTCCAAAACAAGGACACGAATATGTTTACTGGTCAATCACATATGTATCATAGCTTTAGGACTGTTCGTGAACTTGTACCTAAGGATTATTTCTGAAATCTGAAGCTGAGTGGCGCTAGCAATGATCGTTGTAGCAAATAGAAGTGTAAAATAAATGCTCTTAATCTATGTCTAATACGGAGTATTAAAGAACGAAAATTTCTTTATTTCGCCTCTCACACTCTCTTCCTCGTTCATTATCTCGCACTCCTACCTTTCTTGCTTTGAGTTTCAAGCTGCAAAACCTTCCATTACTGTCACACGCCACTCATGTCTTGGACCAGTTGCCCAAGCCCACTCATGGTGTGGTAGCGTGTGCAGGCAGTGGCGGAGGCACAGGGTATGTCGGGTATGCACCGGCATGTCCTGTCTGACCGGCATGTACTAATAACATATATGTATTATATATCTGTATTTGTATTAAAAAAAAGGAAAGAAATCACTTAGATCACAGATGACGCTATATCCATCACGGAAGCAGGAAGTTAGAAGGCCCAGGAGGCCAGTTCGCGGCAAGGTTATCCTCGGACCTTCCACTTTTTGGCTGTTATCTCGATCCGTCGATTTGTTAAAAAAAATCTCGATCCGTCGATCGGAGCTGAGGAGTCACGGTTCACGGAACATGCCGCCCCCTGTCGCTCCCTGACTGACTGTTGACGTCGGCGTGACGGTGACGCCCTGGTTTTGGTGGCCGGTGCCCTGCTGCCTCCAGTCACTCGTGTGCAGTTTACAGTTTGCACGACCACGCAGTCATAGAGGCTATTTCTCTCTGGTAAAATTTAATCTTCTACTATTCGTCTTATTATAGAAAATTATTATCTACTCTCATAGCTACTCTCTCCATTCCAATTTATAAGATATTTTGATTTTTTTAGATACATTACTTTTATTATGCATAATCTAGACGTAGTATATATATAAGTGCATAGCAAAACTTATGTATCTCGAAAAGCCAAAACGTCTTATAATTTAAAATGGAGGAAGTATTTGCTAACATCACAAACAACAAATTGATTAATTATTTTGCATTGTGTTTTTTTAATATTTATGCTCTTCTGAAGAGAAACTCTCTCAGTTAAGCTTTTCGAAATAAAGAGGCACAAAGTGTATCAATGGTTTATGAGCATCTCAAATTGGTGTTGCTTCTACCCGTGGCAACGGCAAGTGTTGAAAGTATTTTCTGCAATGGTTTTAGTGACAACAAAGTTACGAAATATGGTGGAGATGATTGTCTAGTCACTTTCACTGAGCGGAATATTTTCTTTGAAATTGGTGAAGATGATATAATCAAGATATTTATATCCCTTCGAAAGCGTCAAATAAAATAGTCAGAAATAGAGTTGTAAGTCTCTTGTACTCTTTTACTCCTATATTTCAATTATCGGTATGACTTTTGAACTATTTATATTGTATTTAGTGGATGGTTTTAACTTAACTAATCCATAAATTTAAGTCTTATTGTGTTATTTAGTGCACTTATACCGAATCATGTAGTCGATTTTACAATTATTACTAAATTACTAATATGGATTTACCGAATTGTATATAAAAATTTTTAGGCGGCATACCCTGATCTAAAATCCTAGATTCGCCACTGTGTGCAGGTATATAGCTCACCTTTCACTTTATTCTTAAACCCACAACAATTGCACACAATAACTACATGTTTAAGTTGAGTCACTATTTTGTCAATTTTTCATAACGGGATTAACCCTGTATTGTACTAGCATTTATTATGGATTTTAAAATTTATTTAATTTAAGATTGGGCCAAACCCAATAAATCTAATAAAAATTGCTAGCTCATTATCATGGCACGAGCACTACATAATAAATTGTATGTCTTGTTATAACGTATGTGTATGTTTGCTAGTCTAATATTAAAAGAAGAAAAGTTTTTTGGCTTGTCTGTCCCTCCACTCCCTCGAGTATAAGAGTCATAACCGGTTTTACTAAAAGTAGTAGTACGTGATGAATTAGAGATAACATTCCTAATTAGTTTTTTTTGTCCTATCTGGACCCGAAAACAAGTTTTGCTCATATGAGTTAGAATAACGTGCGTCCATTCATAGTAAAAATAAGACCATGTTTGGATCTCATTGTCTACAGTTTAGTTGGCTACTAAAATGTTGATCATTTTAACACATTTGTCTATTCTACTGAACTAACATCTTTTTTTTTTGAGTTTGGTTAAACTTTAAAGCACGCGTTTAGAGCTTCAAGAGCCAATTTAGTGGCTAAACTTTAGACCATGAGATCCAAACATGACCTAAATCCAATTGTAATACGTATTGAAACAGATAATTCAAACTATTTATCCTTTTGCAACCCACGAACATAGTACTTGTTAGGGAAAATGATGTTCTTGCCTCTTACATAGATGTGCAATTGTGATTTTGTCCTTGTTTTTCTAACTTTATGATTTTGCCCTTAACTGTTCACAAGTCAACACAATTTTGCCCCTGTTTTTACCGTTGACCAGGGACAAAATCGCGTTGACTTATGAACCGTTAAGGGCAAAATCATAAAGTTAGAAAAACGAGGGTAAAATCATAAATACATATCAAAGTAGGGGCAAGAATACAAGAGCCCCTATTTGTTAGTACTCCATCTGTCTCAAAATATATAAGTGATGTTTTAAGTTTGTCCTAAATAAACCCATTTTAAGTTTAACCAAATTTATACAAAAAATTATTAATATTTATGATACCAAATAAGTATTATTAAATTTATCATGAAATATATTTTCGTATCCTACCTATTCGTTGTCATAAAGATTAACGTTCTTTCTTATAAATTTAAGTAAATTTAAAATTGTTTGAACTGCATGTACTTTAACTAAGAATGCACCTAAAATATAATTTGTACTATATATATATCTAATATTAAAGAGCGAATTAATTCTTACACGTCCTTTTTACTAATTCCAAAAATATCCTTGTACCCTCCATATCTCGTATCTCACGTAGACTCGTGATCCCTACCCATTCGAGCTAGAACGACTCTTGTCATGCGATGGCACGGAATCTGATTTCAAGACATAGAGTCTTGTTGCAGCGCATGTGTAGATTAATAAATGTATGTATAAGAGGGTGTTTAGTTCTACCTTCTAAACTTTAGTTATTGTCTCATCTGATGTTTGATACATACACGGAGTATTAAATATAGAATGTTTACGAAACTAAATGCACATATTGAAACTAATTTGCTAGACGAATTTATTAAGTCTAATTAGTCTATGATTTGATAATATTGTGCTACAGTGACATATGCTAATGATGGATTAATTATGTTTAATAAATCTGTCTCGTGGATTACTAAGGACTTCTGTAATTTATTTTTTATTAGTATTCAAACACTTCATGTGACATCCGATGTGACACCTCTTAAACTTTAGTCTCAGCGACAAACACCCCCTTAAGTATAACATGTGTACAAGTACGAGTTGGTGGCTAGTTAACCTGAACAGGATGCAGCACTCCAAATATAACCAAGCATATACCATGGGCCAAGCAGGCTGATGAGAACAGATTGAGGCCCGTTCGCTTGGAGAAATTTAGAGAAATCTAGAGGAATCCGTAAGAAGAAAATAATGTTTGGATAAAAAAAAAGCGTATCAAGCCGGATTTAAAGGCACGCGACCAGAGCATGAATGTCTGAATTTGTCATCTTGTCTGGATGTGTGTGGTACAAGACAGGAAGGAGTTGACGAAAGTAAGACTAGCCTGGTACCAGCAGTATACAATAAAGGACACTACATATATAGTATGTGGCACTATATATATTATTACTCTTCTGTCGTTGGTATATATATTTGCAACCTAAAAATTCGAGATAACAGAAAAAAAAAGATTCAATCCACGGCACCAACAAAGTAAGCAAATCCCGTCGTGTAAGCGTAACTCATGAGTACTGAGATACTGAGGACGAGTCGATCGGCCTGTCCTGCGATGCACGAGCACGAACATGGATCATCGTCGTCGTCAATGGATGCATGCTCCCGGGACG